AATAGAGAAATGAGACAGGCTGGAAAGTGGCTGTGGATACAGGGAAATTTTACTTTGCAGAGTTGTGACATTCTAGCCATGTTTTCAGGTTGATGAATGATTCAGTAGAGAGGCAGAAAATGATGCTACAGAAAAAGGGGTATAATTCATGGAGCAAAGTCTTAGACTAGTCGAAAGAGGAAACAATCAAGTTCCTACATGAAGGAGTTAGTCTGAGAAAGTATGGACAATAATTTGATGAAACAATAGGCAGAACAAGTTATTTGGGACAAGATTACCTATTTAGCAATTCCATATTAACACCTTTAGTAATACATCAGGGGAGATGTACCAATAAATGGAATGTATCAGTCAATCTTAGCAAGAAATTGAAACATTTAGGACAAGGGAAGGATGCCAATAAAACTTATACTAAAAAAAAAAAAGAATGAATATATAAGACTATGTCTGTAGTTCATTTTTCAGTTATGACCATATATGACTAGGTACATGATATTTGCATAAAGTAACATTTGCTTCTGATAATAGAAATGGGGAGGGTGTTATTCAATTCTTCTTTTTCTCTTTGCGTAAGAATTGAATATCAAGGGAATGTGCAAAAGTAACTACACCAAGGTTTGCACATTTACCCATCATGCTTTAAATAAAAAGATGCTTAATACACATATGCCCAGTATATTATGTAAATTTTCGCTTTGTCATAAAAGGAAGTGCTATAATATGTTCTATCAGCCTGTACCATGTAAATTCTGTAATTGGTTCTCAAATATCATAAAATATTGAAGGCATATTATATGTAGTGCTTTATCGATATGATTTTACTCAAATAAGCATGCTGATTTTCTCCCCACAAATAAATGTTCTTTTCCAGACTCTACACAGAGTTGTGGGCCCCCTCCGTCTATTGACAATGGTGATATCACCTCATTCCCATTGTCAATATATCCTTCAGGATCAAGAGTGAGATATCGTTGCCAGTCCTTCTATGAACTCCAGGGCTCCAGAGATGTTATATGCAGCAACGGACAGTGGTCAGAACCACCAAAGTGCCTAGGTGAGTGCTTAATATTCTCCTGTAGTATGAGATGGAATATTTGTGGCAGAATTTTCACGGACTAATTTCACAGGATGATATATTTAGTAAAATTTCATTCTGCTGGAAACTTTTCTTGCCAAATGTGAATAATAAGAAAAAAATGTTTGAAAATATGCTTTATACAAAGTGGGGAAAAATCTGTAAAAACTATAACCAAATTTCTGAAAGACTTAAATACCATAAGGTACATTATTAAGCTTCATAAATAATATCCAAATTGTATAACCATGGGACCTATTGGCACCCAACTAGATTCTATCATGTTGTAATCACCTTCTTGAGTATTTTCCACAGAGAACAATTTGCAAAACATTGGTCTAGGAAAGTTATCATTTACCAATAATAAGATTCTACTTAGAAACTTGAAGTTTTATCTATCAAAACTCTTAGTCACTGTTACTGGCCTTCCATCTGTGTGTTGTTAGGATTTCTAGCAGTAAAGGCACAACAAACTGAGTTACCAAGCTTTTCCCAGATCTTCGGTTAACTGAGGACATCAGTGCATAACATTCAGTCTCCTCCAAACCATATGAACCTCATGGCATTAGAAATATGAACATGGTCAATCTTTTATGAAAAATTGGAGGGGTCACATTCAAGGGCATAATGGAAGATTCTTTTACTGGTGTTAACAAACTGAAGGGGGCAAAATGCGAAGAATATGAGTCTCAATAATAATGACAACAATAGCAAAAACATGAAGCCCAATTTATTCCAGGCAAGCAGATGGAAACCAGCACTTCCATAAAGCACTGGTGTTTTCTGGTGTTCTAAAGAACACCGGGTAAATGAGGGCCTGAATAAGGACTGTTCCTGCGACAGTCTCCAGATTTGCCAGCGCCTCAATCCACAGGGCTAGACCAGCCGTTTCTTTCAGACTTGAGACCTTATCCTTCTGACAATGTCACTTTCCTACACCTTCTGTAATGACAGGTTGTCTCTACACTCCGGTCTGTACTGTGCCTTGTCACTCATCATTTTCTGAGTCCTCTTTCCTACATATCATCACAATAACGTAGGAACTGAGGAAGAATATGGCAGAGGTAGCATTGAGTAATTTTTCTAGAATGAAGAAAGGCTAGGTTTCAAAGCTAATTTCTTGAATGGAGGTTACAATTACCAATAAGTAGATAGATTCTGTTATGTAAGACATTAAATATAGCAAAGTTTCAGGTGTTCCAAGGATTAAAAATAAGTAGAAATTATTATGAGAAGACAACATAAAATGAATTTCCTGAAGAAAGGTAAGACCAGAATTACAATGTACAGACTGTATGCCATATTGACAACCAGAGTTTATAGGAAGGGTATTGCAGTAAAAAAACAACGCTTTGAACACCAGCACAAACATCAACAAAAGCTAAACAAGCAAACAAAAAACTTACCATAATCTTTAGACTATTTAAAGGAACATGATCAAACAATTTTCTGTAGGGTAGAAGAGTCAACACAAAGAATTCAGGAGAAGCAATTTTTCCAAAGCCAGATGTAAACTTCATTGGATAGTTCATTTATTTAATGTAGTAGGGAGCAATTAAATATTTTAATAGCAATCTTCTGATACAGTGTTCTAAAGGGATCGGCTAACTAAGAAGACCTGAATGTAATGTAATAAGAAAATGCAACTTGAGGAGATTGTTTAAGGCCTTATAAGAGATGGATTGTAGTCTTGACAAATGAGCAAGAAAACTTGGAGCAAGAGAAAAAGGATTTAAAAAGTAACATCAAAATTCCTCAATAAATTCCGGGGTAAATTCTCAAGTGTTCAACATGTAAGAATTCCTCTACATCAATTAAAAACCCAGTAGAAAAATACATAAAGCACACATAAAGAGAAAGTGACCAGTGTAGGATGAGTCAACCTGCAAAAGTGCTTATGTCCACCAAGATGAAATTCCAGTGAGAAGACAGTGCTGTTAGGAGACTGGCAAAAGGAAAAATACATCCATGATGTGCGCACACAGCAAAGAAAGCATTCCCACACTCTTGTTGAATTTATAAATGAGTCCAGACTCTCCAAAGCCTCACATTTTAAAGGCAAACATTTTTTAACCTAATGATGTTATTCCTGAAAAACTATGCAAAGAAGTGTCCAAGAATGTGTGTGTAAGGATATTCATCTCCTCATTCTAGTTGCAAGAGATGGAATCTGCCTAAGTTTCTATTAATAGTTTTATGCAGTTGCTAATAATTTATATCTACAGATAAGAAACTGAGGCACAGAAAGTGTGAGTATAATATTCAAACTCCACATTTGGTAGAGCTAGAATTCAGACAGAATTCCATGTGCCTAAGCCCTATGTTATGCAGTCTCTCATGTCTACAAAAAAGCCAGGGAGAAAGAAAGTAAATTCCACCTGGACAATTTGTCATGTATATCTAGAAAATAGGACAGGAGCTCAGAAGTAAGTGGAAAAATGGAATTAAAAATAAGTTTATTTTGGTGCCAGAAAAATAAAATTTATTTATAGTTTCTTCATAGTATGCACTTTCCATGAAATTTTTGAAGACCTATGTTCAATGAACTTTTTGAAGTCCCTTAGACTTAAAGTCCATGAACATTTTAAAGACACGTGTCCAAAAAATTTTTGCACTGAAATAAAATTAACTATTGATTTTGTTTCCCATGAATTTTTTTGAAGTCTCTTGGACTTCTCAATGTACATGAGGCTCTCCTGGGCATGAATAAATCTAGGTACAAAGAGATGTCCCTGTGTGATGTCTGCTTCCTAGGACAGATGCTGCAATTAAGCTCTGGGCTTATTTCAGCATCTTCTGAAGAATTCCTGTATCAGGGATTATGGTTGAAGAGAACATGCTGAATGTGCTACTATCTCTCATTAAAAAAAAAAAAAAAAAAAAAAGTTACCTCAAGCAAGAATGAGTGGAGTCAGTGGTCACTGGGGGAAGATAACTGTTCTCCATAGAAATCATTTTCCCAAAAGTTAAGATCCACTGGTACAAATTTCAGTCTCATTGATAACAGTCTTCTTCAAGAATGTGCCTTTTGAATGTTCAAAGGGATGATGGGCTTCGTCACTCCCTATACTGTGCATGTCATAGACAGAAAGAAATTGATTTAACTGTGGTATTCGGACAGATGTTAAAAGATTTGCCATGTTCAGACTGTGTATACTGGGCAATTACTAAAGTAAAAGAGAGGCCGCGGCTCAATAGGCTAATCCTCCACCTTGCGGCGCCGGCACACAGGGTTCTAGTCTTGGTCGGGGCGCCGGATTCTGTCCCTGTTGCCCCTCTTCCAGGCCAGCTCTCTGCTGTGGCCAGGGAGTGCAGTGGAGGATGGCCCAAGTGCTTGGGCCCTGCACCTGCCTGGGAGACCAGGAGAAGCACCTGGCTCCTGCCATCGGATCAGCGCAGTGTGCCGGCCACAGCGTGCCAGCCGTGGCGGCCATTGGAGGGTGAACCAATGGCAAAAAGGACGACCTTTCTCTCTGTCTCTCTCTCTCACTATCCACTCTGCCTGTCAAAAAAAAAAAAAGTAAAAGAGAATCCTGAGTTAGGAACAGAAAGTGCAGAAAGTGAACAACACAGACCCTGGGAAAATGTTCTAATTTAACCCTATTTGTTGTATGACTTCTGGGTCAGTGAGGCACAATTGCAGGGGCCCATACTCGGGCTCGAAAACACTGCCTTTGCCCACATGACTTTGAGGAAACCTCTCAGAGCCTCCCTCTCTCCTGGTGTAGCCCTGGGCAAGTAATGCAGGATATACATAGACAACACATACATGGGCTGAGAGCAGGACTTGGTGTGACTCAGCAAATAGAGGCTGTTAATATTCTTTCACTATTTCATCATGTCCTTAAATGCAATTTCACTATTTTATAAAAAAGGAAGGAACTATTATTAGTTACTTATTTTATTTTACTATTGCTTCTTCCAGATGCATGTGTAATATCAGAAGAAAATATGAACAGAAATAACATACAATTAAAGTGGACAAACAACAAAAAACTTTATGCAAAAACAGGAGCCATTGTTGAATTTGAGTGTAAATTGGCACATAAAGCAAAGAGACTGTCACCATCATTTCAGGCAATCTGTCAGGAAGGGAAATTTGAGTATCCCATATGTGAGTGAGAAAACCACAATTTCACTGAAACTATTTTGACCGTCGTCATAAATGCATGTTTAAATGTCCCCTGTGTGGACACTTGTATTGTCATGGCCTTTATTCTTTTAAGTGTCAACTCATTTTCATCTAGGACTCTGGGTTTTCAGAAGTTCAGAAATGTATGAGCTGAGAGATCGGTGCCTCGCTCACTTGGAGAGTCACCCTATAGCCAGGGAAATCACAAAACGGCTCTCTTGTTTATCAGGATCTACAGAAAGAGCATTGTCCTTAGCAGCAATTCCTTTCCTAACCTCTTCTATCTGCCTGAAAGTTTTAACATAACTCTGAAGTTTTCTGACTCAACTTTATTTCACAGGACCTAGGGAAGTCGTGGTAGTCTCTGTCTCCATGTCATTACCACTATGTACGTGCAAAAACTGTCATGTTTCGTGATTGTAGCAAGCACTCATCCAGTGTGATGACTCTTCAAGTCCTCTAATGTAAGCATAGCTGCCCTGCACATGTTGACTATTGCTTAAAGAGTTAAATAGATCATCTCCAACCAGTGGGAGACTTTGAAAGGTAAACAATTGTAGTGTGGTGATTCTAGTAAAGGGATAAAGGGCTCATATGAAAAAGGTGATTATTAAGGACGGGCAGTGGCAAAGCAGTTAAGATGCTGCTTGGGGTGCCTGACTTCGAGTTCTGGGTCTGTGCCTGATTCCAGCTTTCTATTGATGCACACCCTGTCAAGTGACGGGTGATGAATTAAGTACTTGGGTTCTTGCCACTTGCGTGGGAGACTTAGACCGAGTTCTTGGCTCTTGGCTTTGATCTGGCCAGGCCATGACAGTTGAGGGCATCTGGGGAGTGATTCAGCAGATGGGAGCTCTCTCTCTGTCTCTCTTTCTGAAATAAGTAAGTAAGTACATAACTAAGTAAACAAATAAATAGGAGATCTTTAAAACTGATTGTGGAGATCATTGTACAGCTCCGTGATTATACTAAAATTCATTGAGCACTTCAAATGTGTGAATTGTAAGTTATATAAATTATGTCTTGATAAAGCCACTACCAAAAACTTTCTCAACACTTAAAAATCAAGAGAAAGACATAATAGAAATTAAAAATCAAAAATAATATTTAAAAAAGAAGGCTTAGTATAAGAATTTAGAAGGGGGGCCAGCACTGTGGCATAGCAGGTAAAGCCGCTGTCTGCAGTGCCAGCATCCCATATGGGCACCAGTTCAAGACCCAGCTGCTCCCTTCCAATCAGCTCTCTGCGATGGCCTGGGAAAGCAGTAGAAGATGGCCCAAGTCCTTGGGCCCCTGTACCTACATGGGAGACCCGGAAGAAGCTCCTGGCTCTGGGCTTCAGATCAGCTCAGCTCCGGCCATTGTGACCAATTGGGAAGTAAACCAGCAGATGGAAGACCTTTTTCTCTATCCTTCTCCCTCTCCCTCTCCGTCTCCCTCTCCCTCTGTGTAACTCTGACTTTCAAATAAATAAATAAATCTTTAAAAAAAGAATTTAGGGGTCGGCACCTTGGCTCACTTGGCTAATCCTCCGCCTGCGGCGCCAGCATCCCATATGGGCACCGGGTTCTAGTCCCGGTTGCTCCTCTTCCAGGCCAGCTCTTTGCTGTGGCCCGGGAGGGCAGTTGAGGATGGCCCAAGTGCTTGGGCCCTGCACCTGCATGGGAGACCAAAAGGAAGCACCTGGCTCCTGGCTTCGGATCGGCACAGCACGCCGGCCATAGCGGCCATTTTGGGGGTGAACCAATGGAAGGAAAACCTTTCTCTCTCTCTCTCTCTCTCTCTCTCTCTCTCTCTCCCTCTCTCATTGTCTAGCTCTGCCTGTCAAATAAAAAAAAGAATTTAGAAGAAACCTATCTGAGGTTGAATAATTTAAGAATTGTGACTCATACTTGCTATCTATTGAGGCAGCTGACCTGTCTCGGAAAGAGGACATAGCAGTTTTATTTATGCTTCTCAGTTCTGAAAGGGAAATCCTGAAGAGAAATATCACCTAAAAGTGTCAGAAGAGTGAAATATGCATAAAATGTTTTTTCTGAGTACAAGATGTAAAAGTATTTTAAACTTGGATTTTTCCCTCCCATTTTCTTAGAATGTGTTTCTGACTTTCTCAAGTTACTTGGGGGCACATGATCTAGATGTTTGAGCAACAGCTCAAGGTTTGTTGATAAGGTTTGCTCTTCTTAGCTTATTGTTCCCCTTGTAGATGAGAATGAAGTTAGGAAAAACAAAAGGAGCAAGTGTGGAAATTCTAGAAAACATTTCTTTAGTGATAGTGCTCAGTGCCGTGTGTACTGCAAGCACCTTTCTCCTGGAGGGTGGGTGGCATTTCACTTCCCTCTCTCCCAAGTCTAATACGGCTTCAAAGAGACTACTTGGAAGCTTTGATATTTATTTCATGGATCCATGACTTACTCACACCTGGGGGAAATTAAAGAAAGGAAGAAGGAAACTCAGAAAGAAAAGGAGTCACGACAAAGGAGGGAGCAATTGTCTTGGAAGGAACTTAAAGGGACTTTATTCAGAAGTCACGTCCTGTAACACACTCTGACAAGGAAAACCAGGCAGGTGTTGGAATGCAAAGGATGAACCAGGTTCGAAAGAGTTGTTTTTATTATCTGCGCTTGTGTTGCTCTGGCTTTTCTGCTTCTAATAACCCTAAAAGGTCAAGGGCTGCAGCTGTTAAGTTTGAGGGCAGAGCTTGCAGGGTTATCAGGTGTCAACGGTGTGCCCATTTCCACTGTACCCTTTCACTTCGTAGGAAACCAATGTGGAAAAGGGGGCGAAGCTTCACTTCAAAGCAACCTCAGGACCTTGATCATTATATTGAATTGTGCTACAAAGTTTTTTGACAAGAAGGTCTAACAGGTCAAGATTGCAAATTTCATATTGCACCACAGATCTGTTAATGAACAGTGTAGCTGTGTAAAATTAAGATATAGTATTAAAAAAAAGAAAGACTTGGGGCCGGTGCTGTGGTGCTGTGGGTTAACACCCTGGCCTGAAGCGCCGGCATCCCATATGGGCACCAGTTCGAGACCCAGCTGCTCCACTTCTGATCCAGCTCTTTGCTATGGACTGGGAAAGCAGTAGAAGATGGCCCAAGTCCTTGGGCCCCTGCACCCACGTGGGAGACCCAGAAGAAGCTCCTGGCTCCTGGCTTCACATCGGAGGATTTCTAGCCATTGCAGCCAATAAGGGAGAGAACCATCGGATGGAAGACCTCTCTCTCTGCCTCTCTTCTCTCTGTGTAACTCTGACTTTCAAATAAAGTAAATAAATCTTTTGAAAAAAAAAAAGGAAAGGCATATAAAATTGCTGACAAAACATTTCTGAAGCTAAGATTGAGCCTCAATAATGAAAGAAGAGTTTGAGTTGTGCCATGATGTTTTTTACCTTCAGTCTATAAAAAAAATAAATAAAACCTGTGTGCTGTTACATTTGAACAGGACAAGTTCCCATAGTATATTCATATTGAATTCTAAAGAGCAGCAAGATAATAGAGGCTCCTTTCATGAAATTCTCATCCTGCATTGCACCAGTAGCTATTTTTAATGACAAGAATGTGAACAAATGCTTGAATAAACATCTCTATTCAACAATTGCTGAAACACCTAAATTTATCAATTAGCCTTTAGCCTATTTGTTGTATTAATCTATTTATCCAGCTATACAAACCCATCTATACTTTCATTAAAGCAAGTCAAGTGAAGTTACTGACATCATGACAATTCTTCATTTCAAGTCAACATCTTTTGAAGTCATCGGAATGGGAGTGTTTCCTTCAGTAGCAGATTCGTTCACTTTGGTTTGACCGTTTTGTTGAGGTCATACTTTTTTTTAAAGATATATTTATTTGAAAGGAAGAGTTACAGAGAGGCAAAGGCAGGGAGAGAGAGAGACAGAGAGACAGAGAGTCAGAGAGAGAGAGAAAGTCTTCCATCCACTGGTTCACTCCCCAAATGGCCACAATGGCCAGATCTGAGCTGTCCCCAAAACCAGGAGCCAGGAGCTTCTTCTGGATCTCTCACACAGGTGTAAGGCCTAAGGACTTGAACCATCTTCCACTGCTCTCCCAGGCCATAGCAGAGAGCTGGACTGGAAGTGGAGCAGCTGGGACTCAAACTGTCGCCCATATGGGATGCCATCACTGCAAGTGGCAGCTTTACCCACTATGCCACAGCACCAGCCCTAGAGAGTATCTATACATTTTTGAAAAATATCCTCAAAATATGTGAGGGGACAGTAGCATACTACTGAGACATTAGGAAATTATAGGGGCAAAATTTATAACACAAAGAAAAGTCAGAGAAATATCCCAGCATTTGAGAAGGGCCTTTTTCATCTTGAAGCAATTGCTTATTTGAAAGTAGTAATAGAAAGACTAAGTTGAGGATAGTTGTCAACAGACCCAGGGCTTAAAAACCAAATTTCTTAAACATTACTTAACTGCTGAAACAAATGCCCATCCCTGTTAATATCTTACATGTTTTGAGAAGTGTCTATTTGTCTCTATTATAAAAAATTAACTCACACCTTCTTTCTCCCTTCTTCTTCCTTACCTGTCTCCTCCATCACCTAATTTTGAGGTCTTCCTTGGTGCATATATTTGTTCTTTTAACACATTATGCCCCATCATCCTATATATAGAATATCTATAAAGACTTATTGAGCAATAAATGCACCACTTATAATAACTTTAAGGTAAGTATTATATCATTGAAATATTCAGAGTTGAAAACTTAGGACTTAATGGATTAAATATTTTTAGAATTCTAGTAATCCATGTCAGCCTACAGTTTTGTATCTGACTCCTACCTATTACATATGATGGAAGGAATGAAGGGAAGTACAAAGAAGTAGGAAGGAAGGTAAAAAGGAGGGAAGTGAGGAAGACAAAATAATCAAAGAATAATATAACAAAATATGTTACCTCCAGCTTGTGAAATGCTATTCAAGTATTTGTATTTATATGTTGATAGATATATCACATTCTAGGTGAAAATGTAAGTGCTAAAACAATATTTTTTTCAATTTCTATTTAATAAATATAAATTTCCAAAGTACAACTTTTGGATTATAGCAGCTTTCCCCCCATAACCTCCCTCCCACCTGCAACCATCCCACCATCTCCCACTCCCTCTCCCATCCCATTCTATATTGATTCATTTTCAATTATCTTTATATGCAGAAGATCAACTTGGTGTATACTAAATAAAGATTTCAACAGACTGCATGCACACAGACACACAAAGTATAGAGTACTGTTTGGGTAGTAGTATTACCATTAATTTGCATAGTACAACATATTAAGGACAGAGATCCTACATGGGCAGTAGGTGCACAGTGACTCCTGTTGTTGATTTAATAATTGACACTCTTATTTATGATGTCAGTAATCACCCGAGGCTCTTGTCATTAGTTGCCAAGGCTATGGAAGCCTCTTGAGTTTGCCAACTCCGATGTTATTTGGACAAGGCCACAGTCAAAGTGGAAGTTCTCTCCTCCCTTCAGAGAAAGGTACCTCCTTCTTTGATGGCCTGTTCTTTCCGCTGGGATCTCACTCACAGAGATCTTTCATTTAGGTCATTTTTTTTTTTCCAGAGTGTCTTGGCTTTCCATGCCTGCGAAACTCTCATGGGCTTTTTAGCCAGATATGAATGCCTTAAGGGCTGATTCTGAGGCCAGAGTGCTGTTTAGGACATCTGCCATTCTATGAGTCTGCTGTGTATCCTGCTTCCCATGTTGGATGGTTCTCTCCTTTTTAATTCTATCAGTTAGTATTAGCAGACACTAGTCTTGTTTTTGTGATCCCTTTGACACTTAATCCTATCATTATGATCAATTATGAACTTAAACTGATCATTTTGACTAGTGAGATGGCATTGATACATACCACCTTGATAGATTGACTTGGAATCCCCTGGCACGTTTCTAGCTCTACAATTAGGGGTAAGTCCAAGTGAGCATGTGCCGAACTGTTCATCTCCTCCCTCTCTTATTCCCACTCTTATATTTAACAGGGATTTTCAGTTAAATTTAAACACCTAGGAATAATTGTGTGTTAATTAAAGAGTTCAACCAACGGTATTAAGTAGAACAAAAAAAAAAAAAAACTAAAAGGAATAAAATAGTAAGTTGTTCTTCGACAGTCAGGACAAGGGCTGATCAAGTTATTGTTTCTCATAGTGTCCATTTCACTTCAACAGGTTTCCTTTTTGGCGCTAAGTTAGTTTTCACCAATCAGGGAGAACATATGATATTTGTCCCTTTGGGACTGGCTTATTTCACTCAGCATGATGGCTAAAACAATATTTGTATTACAGTATGATATATAATATGTATCCCATGTATAGGCATGTGTGTATATAAATAAATTTTTAAGTATGATTATTTGCACCTGCAAAGACACACAGAGAAAATTCTCTATGAAGGTAATTACACCAAGTAGGTAGATCTGGGCTACTGAGAGAACAATAAAACTTATTTTTGGGTCAGCTGTCTGCTGCCTGCTAAACCACAATGCTGGCCCCAAAAAGTTTATTTTTAACCTATTACATTTGTTCTGCTTAACTGCTTTACACTGTAAAAGAGTTGCCCTTATACTTAAGAGAGAAAATAAGTTATTTTAAAATATAATTTTAATATGGCTGGCCATAGAATAATTTATTTGATGCTAATAGGTGAACTGAATTTTAATTTTCTCATAAATTATTTTGAAAGTACATAAAAGCGTATTAAAATGTCTGCAAAGTGAAACCTTGCATTTTTGTCTAATAGAATTCTACTTTTATCTGAGAAGAAATATACTAGGCGAACTACCTCTAAGTTTTGGTAAGGCTTTTTAGACCCCGTTTTCTCCATTTTTTCCTCAAAGGAAGCATGTTGGGATCCCTGAATTCAGTTTGAATGTATAATGTTCTCCAGAGTTTTGATCTTTCTTTTTTATGAAGAAGAGGACTTATATCCATGAATTCTTAACTGCCCTTTGAAAAATTAAAGTTTCTCAGTGCAGAACCAGGCAGTGCCTTCGAAGCTTCGGAATACCCTAGGGTGATCATCATGCTAGTGATTCTTTGATCTTCTCAGCCTCCCTATGCTACAACGATGGCAAGTCCTGTAGCAAAATTTGCTTTCATATTCATCATGATGAGAATTGTCCTACAACATAAAGCTCTTTAAAAACAAAGTGGTCATCATTGTAACACTATCCTCAGTTCCTCAGACATCTAATTGAAGTGATAATTCAGTGAAGCGGTGGCAGTCAGTCGGCTGAATCCCCTTGCTGGATTATGCTTTTTTATCAAGCGGTCCCTGCCTTCTGCCATCATCTTACTCCCTCCACGGCTTTCTCAAACATCTTCATTCTCTTTAGTCCATGACTTCCCGGCCCAGATACTCCTCCACTTTCACAGGAACTGTCACGGGAACTGTGATGTGGATGACCTTATTCCAGCCACAAATCCAGTTCCTCTTCTTGGCCAAGGGCTGTTCCCCTTCTGTGCCCTTGGTCCTGTCTCTTCTCACCTTTTGAAGAATTCTTCTTTTTAAGAGTCTATTATGCAATATTTTCCTATCCTCTTCCACTTGTCCTTGTTTATTGTCCTATTCCCACTTACTATGAACATGTTCAGCTTTCTCCCACTTTTGTCCAAGGAGATATTCTTTATTCCCATCTGCCCTTGCACCATCACACTTCTGACAATCTCTGCATACATGTTTCTGGTTTTTGTACGTACATTTATTCTTCACCCTACTCCAGTCTCAAGCCCATGCTTGATGCTGTTCCCTTCAGACTCATCCCTGATATCCCACCCACATTTTTAGGCCCTGTCTCTTTTGGAATCCATTCAATCAACTCAGCCATTCCTTACCAATTTCCTTCGTTGTAACCTAGCCTATATTCAAACATTGAGCTTTGGATGCCTTCAAAACTCTGAACTTGGCCTACATCTTTCCTCACTCTGGGAAACTCGTCTATTACTTTAATTGTGATAAATGTCCACTGACTGATAACTCCAAATTATACCTAGTCCAGCATCTCAACACCCACACTTTTTTACATAGAGGGTTGTCAGGGAAGCAGACATTGCGATGGAAACAAGCATCCGAGAGGATTTTAGGGAGTGCCCCCAGATTTATACCCATGGCAGAGAAAGGAAGAAAGCAAGATGGAAGAAGCTGAGCTGCAATAGGACTTCAAGCAGAGATCCCAGCCAACATCCCAGCAGGAACTCAGGAGCCGGGACAACCCTCAGAATTGCCTCTTGGTGGAGTGAGGGGCCTTTTCTCCTGTTTTCAATGCCTGCAGACCAGTCATTGGTACAGGCCAGCTGGGAAGGAGTTACGAACTGAAAGAGAAGGCTCTGTTACTGAGGTGACTCCCGTAAGGGATGGACCATGGAGAGCTCCCAAGCGCTGAAGAGAAGTCTGTCTTTCTGCTGGGAACCTGGGTGGTTCATCACAGGACTGATCAGAAAAATCAATTGGTTAATTAATATTTTCACTGGTCGTCCCACAGACATGTCACAATAACATTTCCAAAACTCAGATGTTTGTGCTAATTTGCACGTCTTACACATTCTTCTTGTCATCTTCCATGGCTGCTTAGTCAAGGCAAAGCCAGGGAGTCCCCCTGAGCTCTTTTCTCTCTGCTCACTTTCATCTCACATCTCATCACTTGCCAGCATGGTGATTTCACATCCTAACTGTCTCGTGAATCAGCCTGGCTTTCACCATCCCCACTGCTGCCTCCAGGGTATATGACTGCATACCTTGTCTAAATGACTGCATCATTTTTCTCCAGGCCACACTTGCCCCTCTTCGATCAGTCTCTCCAAACTGCAGTCACCAGTGTCTGTAAAAGTCAGTGTAAGCATCTTTGTGCATTTGGTGACTTTCAAGGTCTTTAATTTGGACTACAAAGGCCTTTGCATCAGGCCTACCTCTCCTCCAGAGTTATCTTGTTCCTCCTTCCCCACTCCTTTCCACTCAGGCCACACAGGATTTTTCTTAGCTTCTTAGAAACACCATGTTCTTTGCTGCTGTCCACATGTTCTTGCTGGAACAGAAACAATCTTCTTTCTCTGTGTAAATCTTGGGAATCTGTCACTTTCTTGGGCATCCAGGACTAGGCTGTGTCCCCTGGTGTTCACTCACAAGATAGTGTCTTTACTGGCACATTCATCTTCTGGGATTTTTTTATATCTTTCTCCTGTAAGTGCCTGTAAGAGCAGGCACTGTGTGTTACTCACTGGTGGTGTCCACCGCTTAGCATAATGCCGAGCATATGGTGTGTGCTAAATATTTGACAGCACCTTTGCCATTCCCGCTACTTAGAATGTCTTAATCTTGTAACCTTTACACTTTCACCTGCCACCCACATGATAAAAGTTAATCACCACCTCTGTTGTGCTTTGGACCCGCTTCCATTGTTGCAATTTTCAAGTTTTTATTTCTTTCACACTTCAGGCATAAAAGCTGGCAGTTTAGTGGGTGCATTGCTCACAGAATGTTCTACCACCCCATCATATTAAATCAGTAAATTTTGTAACTAATAAATCAGAAGATGTGTCAGGACTAGATACATATTCCCACATGACAGCTATTCACCTTGAGAAAAGAAGGAGCTGCCCAGGATAGACAGAGTGTTCCCCTCTCAGTCCACAAGAAATATCACCAGACAAGCTGCAGGCATCATGCATGCTTTATGTGTGACCCACTGGGCATTTGAGTTTCAACTAGGAGTGTCTTTATCTTTTCTACTAAACTAAGCTGGTAGAATGAGTTCTCTAGATACAATGAGATTAATTCTATTCATCTCTGAATCTTGTATTATCCAACATGTTATATGACTCCCACATATAGCAGGTGTTCAAGATTGTTCATTAATCAATTGATTAATGAGTGGATTACAGAGAATTAACACTTCCCTATCGATATTTAATTTCATGAGATTGACTACAGAAGCACAGAAGATATAATTAATATGGACTCAAAGATAGTTCTACAGTACATATTTTATAGTGAATGAGTTCACAGAGTTGGTACAACTGTGGCTTCGCTTCCA